ACACACACACACACACACACACACATAGGTTTAAATTTACAAGGACACACAGTACCTACACTTGAGTGCACTCACACACAGTAATCTCCCACGAGGGCCAGTAAGGACATCCAAAACAAGTGAGCACCGTTGGAGGTTTGACAGAAACCAGGGGAGAGTGCTCAACCTCCCAACTTTACTTCCACCCGTCCATCCATTTATCCGTCGTTACAGCAGTCCGTTCATGCTATCGAACGGTTGCGGGTACAGTCATTCACAGAGGAGTATGGATTTCCTTTATTATCACAAAACTGTGCACACTAAATGGAAAGGGGAAAAAAAGACGAGGAAAAGCATAAATCACAACCACATGACGTCTGTCTGTCCCAAAACACTGTGTATTGATGTAGTGAGAAATATTGCAACCTGATGTTCTTGGCTCTGCGCTTCAGTAAGACGGGCAATATCTGGTTTTGGAAAGAAGCTCTTCAAACCCAGATGTCCAGACTACGCAAAGCTGCAAACGAACCATAACAATTTACTTTACTGCCATCAATCACACTGCCGCACAGGGCGAGGACAGCAGCCAAGAAGCATCGTCGTCATCAAACAATGCTATGGTGTCAGCGGGGGCAGGGCAGTCGGCTCAACCGCTCTCTAGTCACTATATGAAACATGGCTGAGCGGCCCGAGCCCAGGGGCTTTTTACGCAATATTTTCCTTGAGAAGGAGGGGTGAGGGAAGGGAGATAAAGTGAGTTCGGATGAAGGTGCACCATTCACATTGCACCCCCCCCCCCCCCCCCCCCCTCCCACAGGCAAACAGGAAGAAGTGAAGAAAGCAGATGGAGGGAGAGACGAGAGGGAGGAATAGAGGCAGCGAGAATATTTCACTGTAAATTCTGCATTCACACTGTGCACCCTGTGGCAAGGGAAGAGAGGGAGGGGGGAGGGGGTACAGATGGACGGGTGAGGAGGAGGGGGAGATAGAGTGGCGAGGTGTGATGTGCGGTGACCCGAGCTCTTCGGTGACGCCATTAAACTTGGAGGCACGCTTCAGCGACTTTGAGCGAGGAGAGAGATATAAGCTGTCTTTGGCCACCGGCTCTGTGGCCGGCCAGAGGTCAGCCGGTACACACAGCAATGCACGGAGCTTCGTCAGCACTACAGAAGGTCACGAAGGTCATAAGGCTTCATAACTGAGCCTGGATATCCAGCGCGGTAGTGCACTTCTGTTCACAATACACAACATTTAGTTTATTATCACTAGAAGGGCCACTAGCAGCAGGAATGTTGGGATGAGTTTATTCAAGCTCCGGAGCATCTACTCCCTGGTTTGAGCTGCAACAATAACACTTAATAACACACCAGCGTCTTTATGTGCGATTATTCTCTTTGTCGTCGAGATGAGATCAATACCACTCTCACAATGGCACGGTAAGTGCGAGGCCTAAGCTTAGCTTAGCATAAGGACCGGAAATAGGGGGAAACAGCTGGCCTGTCGCGATGCAGTGAAGACAGGTAACAGGGATAGGACCCAAAATGCAGACAGGATCGGTTCTGTGCTTTATTGAAAGAATGCAGGCTTACTGGCAGGTTTCAGGTGGACAGGCAGGTCCAGGTCAAAGGGGCAGAGAGACAGAAGCTCCACAGCAACAAAGGAAAAAAGCCGCATAGCAACTATGATGCTCTGGCACGGAATGAATGGATGGGCGGAGGGTCAGGTAACTGCAGGGCTGATGAGGAGAGTGGCAACAGGTGTGTTGATGGGTGGGGTAGTCAGGTGAAGTCCGAGGGCATCTGGTGGATGGATGGAAAATGGCAGCGAAGGGGCCTGTGGAGGGAATGTGGACAAAGCTACAGACTGTAGCATAGCCAGGCTCAGGCCAAAGCTAACGAAATCTACCTACCATCACCTGTTATGCTCTCTAAACGATAGATATATGTTAGGCTAATGTAACAGGCAGCTGTTTCTAGCTTCATATTCATCATCATGGGAAAATGTCCAATATTCACTCTCTTTTTGCTGTGTTTTTGGGTCTCTTAAGCCGCTAAATGCTCCACTAAATGTTCACAAGCTAGCTGCTAGCTGTGCCTGTCTACTGTTCGGTGCTGGATTGTACTCCAGAATTAAATCATTGGTTGTTTTTTTTAGGTCTTTGGGCAAAATATAATGAAGCTGACACGTGTCGTGTACATGTGTGCAGCTGATGGGTGCTCAAAGGTTAAAGGAGACACACACACAATGCAATAAGATTGGGAGAAAGCGGAGGTTCGACCGGGGCCCACGGCTCAATTTTGACTGTGGTCAGGGCTCATTCGCCAGTGACTCCGGGTAAACGCACCGACACATCGAGACATAAGGAAGAGGTCTGTGGGTACAAGGAAGTAGATGTTGTCTTCTGATAGCAGCTAGTACTCAGGAAGGCAGGGTAACAAAGCACGGACCATGCCAAGTAGCTTCTTATTAATAGAAACTGATATGTGTACTTTCATACTTTGGAAGGTTTCAGTAAAAGAGTATGTAATGTGGTACTAATTGTAGTAATCAGTGTTCAATTGGTACACTCTCAATTCATTGCAAATTACTTGTATTATAACTTTATTTTACCAAAATTTGTTTGCGGTTTAGTTTATGTTTACTTGAGTTTTTCCATGTCATTAACATTTTAGTTCTTTGAAGGAAATTCATCTGGAAATCATCAACCACCTTTAACTATGTTACATCATTTCATGTTGTTGTTTTTACTTTTACCTACTCTGTTTCCAGCAGCTCTCCTTGCAAATGTTTGAGAATTTTTTTTTCACGTTTTAAAATCAAGTTACCAAAAGTCAAGCCAGCAAACAAGCGACTTGATGCGTTTAGAACTTTGCACTGTGCCGCAAATAAACCAATCAAAGAGAAATGCAACTGAGTAAGCTGTTGAGTCTCTGTTTGGAGCAAACCATAAGAGTGATGTCTCTTGAATTTCCCCTTGAAAAAAAAAAAAAGAAAGCTTCTTGTCAAGTATCGTGCCGACGTGACTTAGCAGAATGTTAGATGCTCTGAGAGCAATGTGGAGGCGTCAGTCAGCTGCACTGAGCGGACTGGGGACCCAGGTAGAGCAAAGGGAGCCCCTTAACTGTCTCATTCAAGGTGGAGGGAGAATGGAGGAGGGAGAATGGAGGAGGAAGGGGGAGGGGGGGTGCAGAGAAAGATGTTATCACTTCCATCACCTCCTCCGTGTTGGTGTGAAGGGAGTCGCTGAAAAAGATGCCCTACATACATTTTGAGAACAGACTCCAGCAGTGAGGCCTCCCCAGATTCAGAAAAGACAGGCTGAAGTATGGAACGACACAGACAGAGAAAAGAGAGAGACAGAGAGAGAGACAGAGAGACAGAAACAGGCAGACTTCCAGTTTGACAAGGCAGACATGAAAAGGTGGAGACGCAGGCAGACAAAAGGAAACAAGGAAAGTTTTAATCCTCTTCCTTCCCTCTCGAGTGGTTATATAAAACACATCTAGAATTCTGTTCCATGCACATCAAAGAGCCTGCACTGCTTTGCAATCTGCATATATGATGCATCCAGGGAACAGCAGGAGGTGTGTGTACATAGATGTGTGTGTGTTTCTGGGAGGAGTGTTTGAGTCAGAAATAAGCTTCTTTGGAGAGTATTTAGATTACTTTGTGTTTAGATGAGCCACTCGGATCTGCGACTGCTTAAGTCTTCAAATGACAATCACATTTCCTTTCTGTGTGAGAGCGCTCCCACTGCCAATACAGCAGTAACCATTACTAACAAAGAACTAGTTCCTTCAATTGGCATGATGATATACATGAATTAACAACCGCGGTGTCATGCAGAGGTCTCGGGGAAAAAAAAAAAAAAATCTGCTACTAGAAACTCAGGAGGGTGCTGTCAGTTTAATAATGTGGCTGCAAATTAAGTCATCTTGCTGAAGAGAGCTCGATAATTCAAGCAGTTTGTTTCTGTTCCAATGCTGCCACCTACTGTTGACAACATGCACTTAAGAGAAGGAGGAAGAGAAGGAAATGTTGTTATCAAAGCGTTTTTTGCCAAATATTCTTACAGAACTTATTGCAGTAAATAAATGAGTGGAGTTTTATATGGATTTCCCACGTGATTTTATTCTGTATTTTCATGTTTTCATGCAGGCATTATGATGGTTTCCTCAGCAACTGACAGATCAAATATATTTTTTTGCATTTAGAAAATAAACTTATAAAAGGGACAGAGATCAGTTATTTTGTGCAGGTAACAGCATCTGACATACAGGGACTATGAGGTGGAAGGTTGTAAATATGTCCTCCAGAGATATTTAAACACACATTAAAATACTTTTTAAAAACCTGATCTGATAACAATAAGCGAAACATATTTTTGAGTGCAGTGGATCTTTAATGTTCTGCAGGTAAAGCGTGATGCTATCAGGTTAGGACACAATTACTTGCAGAGTGATTTAAAAAATAAGAACTGTTGCAATGTTACAGTGCACTTTCAAAAAATATGACAAGCATACATATCTCTTATAGAAGTGCAAAGATAATGAAACATTTCATTATTCAGTAACAAGTAAAACATCAGGATGAAACATCATTGAACTCACGAATGATTCTGAAGTACAAACACATGAGCATGTGAGAGATTCATCAGGCAGGTGTAAAACCTGAGCAACCAGTCCAGCTAAAGTTATAATTCACTGCCATTGATGCTTGAATATAGAATTGAATGTACTTTTATGTCGTTATAACTGTCAAGCCAGCTGACCTTAGCTTAAGAAACGGTTTGACATCTTCCAAATTACGCTTATTTGCTCTCTTGCTGAGAGTCAGATGAGAAGATTGATACCACTCTCACTTCTACACGGTAAATATGAAGCAGCGGGTTAGCTTAGCTTAGCACAAAGACTGGAAACAGGGGCTTACTGCTAGCTCCACTACCAACTACGAAATGTTATTACTTTTTACACTTTTTTATTTTTGTATGGATTAAACAATTAAACAGTTTTGTTGTTTTTGTTGTTTTTTTAAAGCTCTGGACAACCGTTTCCAGTGTTTGTGCTATGCTAAGCTAATCAGCTGCTGGCGATAGCTTTATTTTAACTGCACAGACCATTGACTAGAAGACAGATATGAGTGAGGTGGTGAGTTTCTTTAGCAAATATCTACTTCTTTAAAGGAAACACACGCACACGCGCACGCACTCAAATAGAGACCGGAAATGGTTTCTATCAGTTATCTTCATTTACTGTATATACTTGGACTTCACTGTCTGAAATCACTGGAATAACAAAGTTCACTATTGTTCGCGTGGCACAAGGCCGTAACCAGTTCTCTTTGAAACAAAGACCCAGTCAGCGTTAAACTGAGTGTATCAAGCATAATTAAGTCTTTTTTCCGCCTGAACTGTTTATGGTCCGTAATGATTCATGAGACCAAACAAGTCAACAATGCGCCGGCCTTATCAGAGCATCTTCTTCATGCTCATTTCCTGATCTTATGACTGTCTACCAAGCATTTCCTTATGTCTCCAATCATCGCCTGTGCTTGTAATGCTGGAGACCTTCCTGCTCGTGACCCCCCCCTTCAGCCTCGTGTTGCTGGCCATGCTCTCCGACACTGTCCTTCCTCGCGGTTTCTCCTTCACCACCTCCTCCTCCTCCTCCTCGCGCTTGGTGTTGTCGAGGTTCTGGCGCTCCGGGTCGAAGGCCGGCTGGCTCGAAGGCCGGCTGGCTCGAGCAGAACCACTTCATGGAGCTGTAGAAAAGCTCCGCGCAGCTGGAAACCGCCGATATCACACCTACAGCGAAGTAGAAGCAGAGGAAGACTGTTTTTTCCGCAGGGCGGGAGGTGAAGCAGTCCACCGTGTGGGGGCAAGGGAAGCGGCTACAGGGGAACTGGGCCTCCACCTTGAAGCCGTACAGCATCCACTGGCCCACTAGAAAGCCCAATTCTGCCAATAGGCGGAAGACCACATTAACAATGTACAGCCTCCTCAAATGGCGCTCTTCTCTGTTGTGCTGGCTGCTGGGTTCGCTGGATTTAAAGCTGGTTTCGCTGGATTTAGAGCTGGGTTCGCTGGATTTAGAGCTGGGTTCGCTGGATTTAAAGCTGGTTTTGCTGGATTTAGAGCCGGTGTCCCTCTTGTTGCGGTGATGCATGACATACATGAGGAAAACCAGGGACGGTGTGGCGATGAGGACGATGTGAAACACCCAGAATCTGTACTGGGAGATGGGGAAGGCCATGTCGTAGCACACCTGTTTGCAGCCTGGCTGGAGGGTGTTGCAGGCAAACTCCTCTTGCTCGTCTTCAAACAGGTCGCTGGCCACAGTTCCCAGGATCAGTATCCTGAAGACGAGCATGAGAAAGAGCCAGAAACGGCCAAGCATCGGCGAGAGGGCCTGGAGGCTGTTAAAGAGTCCACTGAGGAAGCCCCATTCACCCATGATTGCAGCGCTGTCTTGGATACGGCTTCTAGGAAAATCGTGAGTTTTATCCACCTGTCCGTCTCTGCCTTCTATGGGTAAAAAAAAGAAACAAATGTATCTTAGTCTTCAATTCATGACTCATAGTGAGACTAAACGGAGTAATCTACAGGTCAAAGGTTTATGCGCCCACAGTGGCGATAAAGGTTCACATTCCCAAGACCTGAAACCAAAAATAAAACATGATTACACCACCTGCAGTAACAGCCATTTAAGCACATCACTAAAGGAGTCAAACAGGAACACTTGCCTATATTAAACCCCCTATGACTAAGTTTCATTTAACACATCTTAAAGACAGAACAGTTGACCCCAACAATGGGATAATATAGGTTACTTTCCACACATCTGAACTTGACTTTGAGACATTTATGAGCACAGCCTCTATCCGCTACAAGCTGCCACTTGTGTCTCTGAAGCATTCCTGAGAAACAGCATTTAAGGACAAGCCAATGGCAGAAAACAACACAAGTTCAGCCTAAAGCAGAGACTTACGAAACCTACCCTCTGTGATAATCCTCGTTTGTCTTCTCCCAGTCGGATACAAACCAAAAGACTTGAACAAATAAAAATTGTGTCCAACAAAGCTCATGTGCACACCAGCTTATATTCCTCTCATTCTCTCTCTAAATGGTATGTGATTGAAGTTTTCCGGGGCTAAAAATTTGAGAGGGCGGCAACAGTTTAGGAAATTCCGGCTACATCCTAATCTGTACCCATCAAGGGTCCCAGACAGACACGATGTTTACTCAAGAGAGGCTCAGTCTTGATGAGCATTTCAAAGAGCTTCCGAAACAGCAGGAAGGGTCTGTTATAAGCTGTGCCAGCAGCTTCCTGGGCCACAATGGGCAACATTAGAACATGCAAATTGCATAAAGCACCCTGACACACGCGGAGTACTTTGTTCAGTTAGCGGCTTTTAAAGACACCCGGCGATTTTCATTGAGCGTAGAGGTTTGAAGTTCAGGATTCGGTATTTCATGCAAGCAATAAAAATGTTTCGAGGAATAGTTGTCTAAATGATCATAAACTCAACTTTTGAACATGCTACTTACCCATTCAAACTTCAGTGAGCTGATCCCCATTTCATCACAGTATATATCTACCACATGTGTGGCGGATGCTCCTCCCTCACAAATCATTTGAAAACTGAGAACCTGACTTGTACAGACGGATGACAGGTTTGACGAGACATTAGCCCTGAAGCAAAGAACAAGTCCAAACACAAGCGATAAACAAACAAACAAACAAGGGAACTTTATTTTTTGCTAAATATAAAAATGAACAGCCATTGAAATATTTACAGGACACAACAAAACACAAACAAGTGAATCACAAAAAAACATTTCAAGAACTCCAAGACTAAAACTAGACATAGATATAATGCAGTCCAAGCACCAGATGTGTATACTTTTTATTTTTTATTTATTTTACTTCTGCTCTTTGACAGGATGAGAAACCGTGACTCAGTTATTTTGTTTCTTTAGGACGGCAGGTCTATCTAAGCCACTAACGTAAATGCAACCATCCTTCAAGTGATAAAATCCGAGCAACATTAAATCGCACGTGTAACTTATTAAGAACATGTCTAGAACACTAAATCTAAAACTGACTCGGCGAGTCAAATTTAAAGGTCTTCATCTGAGTCAGAGTCCATGTTGTAGGCGACAGGTTTCCGGGCACGCGGGGGCCGCGCTGCTACGGGAGCTGCTGCTGCTGCCTCCTGGTCGGAAACCTGGAAGCTGTCGTCGTCGTCGTCCCATTTCTTGGTTTTCTGCAAGAGGAGAGAAAACATTCAGCTCTAAAAAAAAAAAAAAAAAAGTGTTCATTGTGAGTTACAATGACCTTTTCTGAGTTCAGTAGTAGAAACTGACCTTGCTGGTCGTGGTTTTGGCTTTGAGGCGCGACATGAGGTCGCCTGAGCTGCTGTCTGAGTCGTCACTGACGATTTGCTTTCGTTTCAGAACGTGTTTGGCCTTTGCAACGGGAGCTTTGGCTTCAGTCTCCGAGTCAGTGGAGTCAAATGACGGGACCGTCTTCGCAGCCTTGGTGGACGCAGGTTTGGACTTAGAAAGAGCATCAAGGATGGACGGCTGCTTCACGTCTATGAGAAGTCAACAGGAAAAGAGAACAGATTAGGGAAGGATGCATTACACTTTAGCTTTTGCTCTTATCAGAAATATGTGTACAACTAGTGTAACAATTTAACTTGACCTGTAATTTGATGGTGCAATTTTGACGAGGAACCCATAAAAACAGCTTTAGTATAACTTTGGAACTTTACCAATGCATCTACTCTTAAATCTGTGCGACATATGCGCCCCTCTGAGTGGTCCCTAGTTAGTCTAATTACCTGCAGCCTTCTTAGACGCAGCTGGTTTCCTGGCAGCAGGAGCTTTCTTGGGTGCAGCCTCCTTGGTTTTGCGCTGAACTGGAGCCTTGGGTGCAACAGGCAACTGATCATCCGACTGAGCTGCAAAAGCGCCACGAAGTGCAAATTAATGATTGAATTAAAGCGCAGACCCGTGGTTCAACATGTCACCAGCTCATCACACGGGGGTCCCGTGGAAATACTTACAGCTCGACTTGGCTTTAGCTTGTTTAACGGTCGTTTTGCTCCTTGCCGTTTTCTTCCTGCATGAAAATGACAACATTTGATTCAAAAAACGTGAAACACGCTTCTACATCAAGTTGTTGGTTGTTTTAACACTCACGGGGGTTCTGGAGCTTTGGGAGGAGGGCCAGGAGAGTCCACGTCGCTGTCGGCCACGGGCTCTGGGATGAAGCTGTCGTCATCATCGCTGATAACAGCCCTCCGTTTTGGAGCGTCCTTCTTCTCCCAGTCATCAAATTCCTGTTCGCTGTCGGACATACTGTACTTCACCGCAGCTGAAGAAACGAGCAAACAGAGTGGTTTGATTTAGCAACGCTGCCCCGTGAATCAGGGTCAGTGGTAGTTTGTTTTACTAAAGAACTCCCATAACAGATGAGCAATCAAACAGCTGTTGCAAAGATAAGTTTGGGGCGAATTGAGATAGAGAGCTAATTAGCCTCTCAGGAAATGCATTGTATCAGTGTTGTCATTCAAAATCCAAAACATTTCTACAGTGATTGCATCGTGTCTCGCTGTGGAAGAAAGACTGGTGATGTGGCAAGTATTCGGTATGTATGAACAGTCTTTTCATAGATGGGGAAACATAATGGATACAACCATCTCCCTCTAAGCCATGTTAGTTGGTGGTCCGGTTAAATCGAGCGGATTCACCTTTAGATTTGCGTGCCACCTTCTCCCTCGGGGCGACCGCTTCCTCTTCAGACTCCATCTTGCTGTCGGACAGATTGGCATTGGACTCCTCATCCGACCACGGATTGTTTTTGGGCTTCTTGGAAACGGGCTTGAACTGAAGAGTGCTCTGCCTGCTGCTCTTTGATGCTTCTGCAGAGAACGTGTGTTTCTTAGTCATCTCAAGCAAAAAAAAATAAAAAAATACAATGCAGCTTCATTACAGTAGATACAGTATTTAGAAATGTGCAAACTAATAATTTACTGTAAAACATCACTTATGATGGTCAAGGTTTTCGCTCATTTCTGTTGTGAATGCTGTGATATTCCCCCTAAACCATCCACTGTGGGCTACACTCAACATACACACACACACACATCTGGTTCTACAAACATCCAGCAGAAGTCTGTCATTGTGCCCATCTCACTAGGAATGTTAGAATCTTTTGCAAGCTCAAGTAGTCTGGCACATCACCTGAATCACTTTGTAACCGTGGTGGGGCTGAGGAGTAATTGTGGGTAACTATAATGAACACCGTAAAGGCATGCAGCCCTGTATCTTATCTCCGAAGCACAACATCATTTATCTAACAGGTCGTACGCTTAAAATGTATTAAACTAAATCCCAATTTTTGTTTTCAAAATGTTTGCAAATGATGCATTTCTGCCAGGGCTGCCACTAGATGTCACTGAAGAGCAATTTCTTACTTGTTGCAGGACTATATTTATCAAAATGATGTTTTACTCACAATCGCTGAACAATAATTGAGAAATAAGTTTGTCATTTTGTTTGATTGAACTTTTTATGATATTAAAATGATACATCAGAGAAGATAAATTGGAGAGTCTGATGTGCTGTTAAGAGAAAGTCTTTCCCCTCTGAACTGCTGACAGGGGAACATCTTCAGCCACTCACCCGTCTCCTTCGCCTTGGTTCTAGGTTTCTTGCTCAGTCGTGCAGCCAAGCCAACCTCCTCACTCGGCTCCTCGTTCTCTGCATCTTCTCCAAACTCCATCTTCACCACGACCTTTTCGGTCTACAGTTAAGAGAAATCAGGTCAAGCTATGCAGATATAAGACCTACAACACACGACCGGAAGTTTAGCTTCTCACCGGTGTGATAACTGGGAGTACCTCAGAACCCAATAAACTACAAACAATAACAAGATAACCCTTGTCGGGTGTGATTTTTCTAATCTGAAAAGTCATACCTTGACTTTTTTGACCCTCACAGCCTTCTTGTTCGCTTCAGCTTTCATGGCGCTGGTAATGCGCGGGACAACGCGGCGACCTTGCGGCGTGGGCAGAGTCTCCTGCTTCACCTTCATCGCTCTGCCTTTTCCCGCCCCCTTTTTAGCGACGGGCATTTTCTCCGCCTCTTTTTCTTTTTCCTCAACTCTCTGAGCACAAGGAGGAACAAGACCAGAAGAATATTCAGGAGAGAGAGAGAGGTTTGACAGTGACAAGGAGGAACGTAAGTGCTCAATGTGCATGCATGCTCATACCGGACTGAATATACGTCCGTTATGTATTATGCAAGTTATATTGACAATCTCTCTTCTACAACTGCGGTGGACATACGGTAGTTGACCGTGTGTGACTGAGGAGGTGCACTTGCATGTATAGAAATAGCAAGTGTAGACAGATAAAGAGACAATACCTCCAGTTCCTCGCAGAAAGCAGCAAGGTCTTCCTTCCACAGGTCTGATGGAGACTTCTTCTTCAGGGTGTCGAGCTCTGCCATCTAGAAAACAAACGTTGGGTCAGAGACGTTTACACGAGAAGAACCAGTACGATTACGGCAGAGCTGGACATCACACCTTAGCGTCCCTCTGTTTGCACAGCTCATCTTTCTTCTCTTTGGTCAAGTACCACATGGGCATGCTCAGCAGGTAGTTGTAGTCTGGCCCACTGGTGTCCTCCTCCTCCTCCTCCTCCTCCGCCTCTTCCTCTATGGCGTCCACATTCTACGAGCATGAACACAAACATGTAATATTTGCCGTAGCGGAGGCGGACTACCTAGCAGTCTGAATTCAAGCAGCTGAAAACCACACGATTCAGAGTCTCCTACCTTCTCTTGGGCCTGTTTCCAAGCCTTCACTGGGTCAGAGTCGTAGCCCATCTGCTGCAGCATGCGGATCAGTTCCTTCTTTGGCTTGTTCTCTAAAAATAGATGAACGTTATTAATACTTTTGATAAAAGGAAAATCAAAAAACACATTCTACGGTCGGCACGATTTTGGCTAAAATGATGGTGACTGCTATGAATATTACAATTTCAGAAGCGGTTCCAAATAAAACACTTAAGTAGCTTTTCTTCAACATTTAATCTGAGGCTAAATTACTCACCATTAGTGGAGAGTCATGTAAAAATACAAACTATTTATCTTCCTTGTTTATACGCTTTATAAAGAAAAGTGTAACCAGTCACTAACCAATGACCAGGCTGCCCTCGATTTTCTCCAGGATGAAGCGGGCCTGGTTTGTGAGTTTAGCGCTCTCTGCAGTCAGCATGCCGACCAACCAATCCTTTCTCAGCACGTAGTACTTCATCCTCAACTCAAAGAAGTCCTTGAAAATATCCTGCACGGACTCGTACTTATTCAGGCTGCCCGCATGGTCAAACAGAACCTAAAAATAAATAATGATAGTCAGGTACATGACGACTTGATCCAGCCTCTCTCGCTGAAACATTAGATATGTGCATATGTGTGGCAGCGGGTACCATAGAATTGCAAGTGAGGGTGTTCTGAAGTTTGAAGACTTTGTGGAGGCCAGCAGCCTCCGCCTCACTCAGCTTCTCTTCCGTCATCTTGACCACAAAGCGCACGGTGGTGTCGGTGTGGTATTCCTTGTAGTCTGTGATCAGAGGGGGGACCTTCTCTGTGCCACCTAACATCGGCTCCAGCACGTTCTCCTTGTAGATCTAGGCCGACAGAGAACCGCGTGAAATGACATGTAGATGTAATTAAAAATGATCGCGAAAAGTACTCAAAGTGAATTCATTTCATCCTCGAGACAATGTTACAATCCGGAACACGTCCCTAATAAGTAGGACAAAGCTCGAGGGACTAACCTGCGTCCAGGATTTGACGGGCAACTCAGAGATCTCAATGGTGGTGGAATCAATGATGGCCACCTCTCCACTGATCATGTACTGGTTGTCCACCACATGCTCGAGTGCGCCTTTGAAGCCTTTGTAGTTTGGAAGCTGTGGGAGAGAAAAAAAAAGAAAAAAGCACTGTCATCGTCTGATTTGTCCACCAAGGAGACACAAGACAGCGATGTCAGAAAGCAACAGCAGCCGTTTCCTGTCCTCACCATGGGCAGAGGCTCGTCGCCGTTGAGCATGCGGTGGATGTTGCTGACGATCTCTCGTATGTCGTAGTTGGGGATCTTGCTGGCCCAGCCCGTGCCGATACCTTCGACACCGTTCACCAGCACCGTGGGGATGATGGGCAAGTACCACTCCGGCTCCACGCGCTGGTTGTCATCAACGTTGTACTTGAGCAGGTTGTCGTCCACAGTTGGGAAAAGAAGGCGGGCCAGAGGGCTGGAAGGACAGAATAATTGGGAGAATTTTTAGGTTAATCGGCAACTAATCGTGACATTAACTCCCCCCCACGTTCCTAAACGTGTGCAGGATGTCTGTATCTTTAGATTATTTGTAGTTTGCCAGGAGGCTGCTGACCTGAGCATGGTGAAGATGTATCGAGGGCTGGCAGAGTCCTTGCCACCGTGCAATCTGGTTCCGAACTGACCCAGAGGCTGCAGCAGGTTCAAGTTGTTGCTTCCCACAAAGTTCTGGGCCAAACCGACAATGGTCATCATCAGAGAGATCTGGAACATTAACAGAGATGAAGAGATTAAACCAACAGTATTAAAAAGACAACCAAAGAAAGCTTCACAGAAAGTTTATAACAACAAAAATCATTGGCATTGTAAACATATGTGGGAAATAACCAGATCAAAATTTGTGATGTCGTCTCACCTCTCCGTGGTGGTAGGCTGACATCTCAGCCACCGAGCCAGCCAACTGGGCCACCTTCACCTCCCGCTTGTCATTCCTCTTGAAGCAACAGAACAGCACCTTCCTCTGGCCTGGTTTCAGACCTGACACACACACACACACATTAAACCACTCGCACACCTGACAAACAGTTCTTCTTAAGATTCACAAACATGTTCTCAGTGATCGTGATCGTTGTCACACACCGTCCACCAGGCAGGGGAGGGACCGCTCGTTGTCAGAGTTGGAGAAAAGTACCAGCTCCTTGTTGACAAAGTCGTTGTACGAGAGGGACTTGGTGGACTGACTGTACAAGTAATCCTGTGAAGAGACGGCAAGATACAGTGAAAGTCAACAGGAAATAGTAACAAAGCAGAATTCATCCAGTGTTGGGATGTTACCTCTGGCAGGTTGTGAGCCCTGCGCTGACGCCTGTTCACCATGAAGTTGGTCAGCCACACTTTACGCTCGTCCACTTTCTTCTTGCTAAAGGCCTGGGGAAAAAAACAACAACAAAAAGACACAAGAATCAAATATTAACACTCCAACTAATAATTATATCCTCGTCAGGAAGTTTATGATAACTTATATTGCACCCTGTTATTAGTTTACAAAAGGACCTCGAAGGTTTTACATGACCGTCCCCGGGTGAACTATAAATTTCATTGGCTGATAAAGCCACCATCAAGACGGGTGACATCTTACAAGGGAAATAGCTTCATCGTCCTCAGGTCCAGAGTACTTGAATGGGATACGGTGCCTCTGCATATCAGAGAAGTACTCCTTGGCTTCCTGTGATGTGCTGGTTCCCAAACCTGGATGGACAAAGGCCACAAAGGTTAGATAGAGCAATATAAAAGACACAAGGTTACAAGCATAACACTGGCCAGGTATGAAAAGCAGCTTACTTGTCATGTTTACTACCACACAGGGGTTTTATAACAAACCTTTGTAGTATTTTATTTTCCAAGATTTGGGGTTGGACTGGCTTTCCTTCCATGCAGTGTATTCAGGGATACTGTAGAAAGACATCTGGGTTTTCTTATGAGATGCCTAAAGAGAGGGGGGAAAGGGAAGAAGGCTGTTTGTTGACAAAATGGTCAAATAAGGACAGAATATGACCACCAGGGTTCATGAAGAGTGAGATCTTTTACATAAATGGAAGAATTGTTGTTTTGACATCAGATGGCAATGTTGTTGTAAGTTCAGGGAGACTACTCAAAAAGCCTGAACCTCTACCAGGGCTAGAAATCATCCTGTTTCACATGATATGCTATATTCCCATATCATATAGTGACTTTTAATAAATAATGAAATAACTTGTCAAACACAGATCTTGTGGTTTCAGTGTGAGACTATGCACCTTGATGATGGGGGTGATGAACTCTTCCAGGAAATTGTGGCGCAGCAGGGACGGCCAGTTGTGGTGGATGAAGTTGATCAGAAGGCCCTTAATGTGGGAGCCATCTTGATCCTGTCAAAATCACAACATTAACGTTATCAGTAAAGATGGATCCACTCAAACTGTTACATGTAGCACCTACATTGAAGTGCGTGACAAACGTGAAAAGTAGAGTTTACGACGTGCTCTATGACGGCACTGACAAGCAGTAAAATAAGTTTAAATTTGATGCACTGAACAGCTAATTAAAAATATGTCCAAGATGAGAATTAAAGACTCCTGTCGCACCTGATCTGTCATGATCATGATCTTGCCATAACGCAGAGTCTTGAGGGATTCTGGGTCGCTGTAGTTCTTCTTGTACTGAAGGCCGAGGATCTTAATGATGCTGTTGATTTCAGCATTCTCCATGATCTGAGGAGGAAGGCCAAACAAAGCTCAATACGGTTCTCTGATTGAACCCATTGTTATTATGTGTTCTAAGACATCGTGAATGCATCGGTGTCCATCCGGAGGTAAACACAATACAAGCTCTATCGTTACGATATATGTAACCTCACCTGTTTGAGTGTGGCCTCCCGGACGTTGAGCATTTTTCCCCTGAGAGGGAAGACGCCATAGTGGTCCCTGCCGATCACTCCCAGCCCAGACACAGCGAGTGTCTTGGCCGAGTCTCCCTCAGTAAGGATCAGCGTGCAGCCGATGGAGTTCTTGCCGCCTGCCAGAGAACACGGTCATTGCAGGACGATAGCTGCTAATTCGCTTTCTCGCCAGACTAAGACTGTAGAAAAGAGAAAACTGGCAGTGTATACAATACCTGCATCGTTGGCATCGTCCAGTTTAGGCACCCCTTTGATTTTGGTGTGCTTCACACTGGAGCATTTCTTGTTCAGCTGAGTCTGAGCCTTGAACTTCACCCAGTTCATGATGCTTTCTACAATCCCACAGGATGTGGCCTGTGGAGAACAGAGAATGAAGATTTGTGATATCTGAGTGATTACACTTCTGAGTGTAAAAAAAAAAATCCAGTGCGAGTGATTCTTCATTGGCACCTGTTTAATGAACTTGTCACTGAGAGGACACGCGGAGCCAAAGCTCTTCTGCTGCAGTGTCATGTTCTCTTTGGTCTGAGAGTCAAAGGTGGGGTTCTCAATCAGGCAGTTGACGAACAGACACAGGTGGTTCTTCACCTGGATGGAGAGGGAGTGGAGCATTCTCAGTTATGTGTTCTGCTAACAGGAGACCAGCAATCTCTGGAATAGTTTCCATTCAGCTAAGATCCGAGTTCACAATGAGATGACTGTACCTGGAAAGGCTTGACGGCCACCCCAGCTTTGTTCTTCTTCTTCACCACTTCAATGAGCTTGCTAACCACCTGGTCAGCGACGAAGTCAACGTGCCTCCCTCCCTGAGGGTGCAAAGGACAAACACAAGATCCCACTTACAGAATAAACGACATAAGTCTTAATCATAGTGACACAAAGTGGCCCGGGAGAGCTGCCAGACTTGTACGTAGCTGCCAAAGGAGCCTGGACTACTGGTTCAGTCAGCATTAAAGCGCGTCAAAGCAGCTCTACGACATAAATTTAGACGGGACTTACAAATTAAGATAAAATTAAAATTGGCGCCCAGTATTCCATCACACTACTTAAAACAAATGTAATTATCGGTGTAGCTTTGAGTTCACAGCCCAGAGTCAATCTACCACTCTGTTACACAGATGCAATCAATGGCATTACCTTGGTTGTGGCAATGCTGTTGACAAAGCTGACTTGCTGGAAACCTTTCTCACTCATGGTGAGGCAGACCTCCCAGCGGTCGTTGACGATCTCGTGGACCACGGTGAGGGCACTGCCGAGCTCGTCCACCCGGTCCTTCACATACATGTCCACGTAGCTGCGGAAACCTGTCAGCTGGAGTACAAGGCTGGTTTTAGTCTTGAGCACAAGACGTCCCCTCGACAGGCTTATGCAGTGAATAATGAGCGTTGGGTTTATTTCTGTTTGGACATTTATGCAAACTCTTTCATCAAAGCCATGTAAAAGTTTAGGATGTAAAAAAAAAAAGGCTTTGAGAAATGCCATAATATTGAATTTAGTACTTTGAATGCAAAGAAGAAAAGACACACTACAGCATGGTGACTTACTGGCAGCCTCTTGCCATTGAAGAACACACGGACACCCTTGGAGGCTCCAGCAATGTCGTACGCCCTCCTGGTCATCAGAGCCACGGTGTCTTTGTCCAGGACGCTCATTTTAAACTTGGTTAGGTCCGGCCTGAACGTGATGCAAGTGTGTTCCTCTCCGTCAAAGGGTGTGATGTGGGAATCCCCTGCCCTGCCCATGTTGTCATACCAAGTCTGTGGAAAACATGGAGATATTGTGAAATTACATATTTCCCTTTCAAGTTAGAAAAGAGTAAATGTGGTCAGCCTCCCCGGCCCCCCCACCTGCTTGAAGGTCTTCTTTGACTCTTTACAGGAAGTCTCCACAGTGAACTTTGTGCTAAAGATGTTGCAAAGCTTAGCACCATATCCATTGCGTCCACCTAAAGAAGAAGTATTGGTGTGAAGATGTGATTTAGGATACTAGAGAAGCAATAGTCGACTGATTAAACAAAACATTGCTGTAGTGTATGTATACAAAACCATGTGTGGCTTTAAATTACATTTCTGCTGACTACCCAGGGCTTATGTTCATAGTTTACAATAATGAAATATCTTTTTTGGAACAAGGATGTTTAAACTATACTCTTACAATAGAGTTTGTGATTATTAATAATTCCTAATGATTATAACAGACATTTTGGTGGTTTTTGCTGTAACACGTTGCATCAAGCATTGTCATCACATGACTAGATCTCTGCAGTTCTTCTGTCAGTCTCACCGGTGACTTTCTTTTCGTCATCATCATAGTTACTGGAAGTGAGGAGCTGTCCAAAGATGAGAGCAGGCACATAGACCTTCTCCACTTTGTGCTGCACCACAGGGATACCCTTCCCATTATTCCACACACTGATGGTGTTGTTCTCACTACAAAGAACAAAAGAATACACACATTTCATCATGTGCTTCTGGGATACCAAGGAAATCAGTTGAGCTGGATATGGGGCTATTATTTATATCTTACAAGCAAAGGGACACTGTGGTGAGGTCATAACATATTTTGAGATCTTAACTTGTCATCCAACATTATATAACACTCACACATCTATGTTGATCTTGATGGTGGACATGCTCTTGTCCCTCTGCTTATTGTCAGCTGCATTCACTGTAGAAAGGGGGAAAAAAGGCCTCAGTATGGTAGGACCGCCAAGTGATGGCCAGCAATTTGTCTCTTTACATTATACACCATGTAAAGTTGTGCACGCTGTTTACTCACCAAGGATCTCATCAAAAATCTTGTAAAGCCCGGGCACAAACGTCACATCACGGCAGTTCAGTCCATCGTCCTCATCATACACCCACATTTGCTAAAGAAAGAAGTATAACGTGACCCATTAATTCTTTGTTCTCCTTATCAACCTGAACCTAATTAGAGAAGCCATCCATTTCAAAGACAGCCGTGTGCTGCTCACTTGGGTGACGGGCTCTACAGAGCCAATGTAGGAGTCCGGTCGGAGCAAAATGTGCTCCAACTGCGTCTTCTTCTGGTAGATCCTCTCCACTGACATGCGCTTTGGATCATTCTTGGTCTTTTCCAAAGGCTTGTTTTCAAAGAAGGTCTGCTGCGAATGACACAGGGTTATCTTTTGAGTTTTCTTGCATTGCATGGCTAAGTCTATAAACATGCAGAGGAGTTCTACTTGTGTTACAAGTAACCTCGGTATGATGACCAGCATCTGCAACGACACTCGCTCACACAACTCCACATCCTTGTAATTACTTGAATCTTGAGTATTAATGGATACAAAATGTCAGACAATTTGGTAAACACAAATACTAAGTCTACTGGAAAAAAGTCAATCATCTGTGAAGTTTAGTCTACAAAACACCAAGTTTCGGGGATCTGATTTCAAAGTGTTGCTCAAAGGTACTTCAGGAGGGCAGATGTTTGAACGTAACTAGTTACAGACACGTTTTTGATTTCGAAAATAACACGTGTAGTCTATCTACTATCTACACATATAAATACATAAATGACAATGTCACATTCCGAGTGAAGCTCCCCGAGGTCTTCCAGACCGATTAACTGCAACATTGGTTGTTAAACTTCTGAATTCATATCAATTTTGATCCTAACGTTAAATGAATGCAACAATACTATTGCGTGTGCAACGCCATAGAGACGGGCAACTTTACTTCTTAATCGATTAAGTAAACAACGCAACGTGACGTGACGTTGGGGTTAACAATAGCTAACTAACGTTAGCCGGATGGTTGCTAAAATGTATTGGCCTACATCACATTTAATTTGAAGGGAGTTATTACACGACTGATAGGGGCCAAACATTGTTATTTTCTTAAGCAGTGCGTTAACGATAGTTATATTTGTTACTACTAACAAGCGTCAAACGGTGTGCTAACTAGCACATTGTAACCGTTGCTAAGACACTTCACGAACACTAACAGTAGCGTTAGCTGCTGGCTAGTTAGTTCCACAGTACGTTAGCAAGTTAGCTAGCAGCAAATATCGAAGTTTTGGTAGTTACCTTCAGTGGTTCCGCCATTCTTCTTATATTTACTGCCTAACCCTGGTGCCTGCAATAACTTATTAACTATGTTTAAAACTGACTTTAGCTAAGAAACTACCGCCTGGCTGCACTACAACGTATCGTCTCAGACTAAATCAAGGACCCACTATGAAAATTCAAAACTTGGAGCGAACCTCTCCCGCCAGCTATATTGACCAATCAGACCAAGGGCCTGCTGACGTTTCCCTCCAATGAGGAACGCAGAACCCTCTTTTTTTTTCAGGTAAACAACCAATAACCGAAGAGGCACGAGCATTGGAAGCCCGCCCACATTGCGTCTCACGGCCAATCAACTTCCTAAGATACAGAAGAATAGAATAGAATCATAAATGCTCGAAAATGAATAGGCCGCTTACGGATGTTTACACAATCTAAAATCCGGAAAAGGGGTAAATATTTAGTTATTGTTATTGTTCTTAAAAACTGTCCATTTAATTCTTATATAATTCTGATTTGGTAATAACTGGCCAATGTGGAAATAAACATTCACTTTTGTGAAACTGTGATAGCTTAATTGAATGATTAATAAAGTGGTTATATTTGTCATGGATCACATGTTCATGATTATGCTACAATAAATACACCAACACTGATTAAGGTGAGCTGAAACCATGTTGTTGGTTTACCAATATGAAATATCTTACAAAACATCAAAATTAACCTTTTCTCAATACATGACTAAGTCTATATACATGCACAGCTTATAGCACATACCTCACTAATAGAGTGGTCACTGAGTATATGAACAGTGGTGTGTTTTTTTATCATTGTTTTGGCTGTAGCCTACTGCAGCACACTGGAAACACTCACCGTGCAATTAGGGTGCTGACTTGAAGCCTATATGTAATATAGGCTACATACAGTGTGTAGTCACATATCTTCAAAAAACTAAATTCAGTGGCAAAACAGACCTCTTTTGACTCATACAAGTTTTATTAAACGCACACTTCCATGTAAGCGCTTCTAAAGCTTTTGACCATATACTAGGTGAAATAATTGAGGTAAGGCCTCATCAAATGATTGACTAGATTTAGTTTTGTCTCTAATAATCAAGTCTGTGAATTGTATTCTGTTCCATAGTAAAATGACATATCTAACCTATTGCTATGCTTAACTGTACCAACTTATAGGTCTGTCTTTATTGATGACATATCACACAAGCTACTCTATGGCACTTTTAAAGCTTTGCCATGTTATTTGAAGCCTAATACGCTTGCTGTATAATCCTGCAGGATTTACAGAGTTCAGAGAAACTGTGATATTCACAGCTGCATAATGACATTCAGGATTCACGGAGCCAAGGGAAGTATTCAACATCTGTGTGCACATTCCGTCTTATTAACATCTCGTCTTGAAGCTACACCTGCAAAGTCGACAAATAATTTAACACCTGACCGAAAAGTCAAGTGGTCATCAGCACCTGAGGTACTCGTATCAGCAGTAGCCTCCTGCAGCAGGTGGCAGCTGCTTCTTTAACACAGGCTGAATACAATTATTACTGAAGATGGCAATCTCGTAGATGTCCAATAACAAGGAAACAGGAGCAGGTTCAAAATGCATCACTTTTGATTAATCAGAAAGTCAACAACACCGGCACAGTTCATTTATAGGACATTTTAAAATCCGTCATGGATGTGGTGGTTGACATGGTCGCTCGGATGGTTCAGACAAACAAGCACTAACCACAACAAGCTCACGGCTGCACAACAGTGGAAAGAAGCGCACACATTTTCTCAGCATTCCCTAATAAACCACCGTTTATGTGTACCTTTTGGTCGGTATTGGTATAAACCGTTACTGTCTTTTCCAATGTACAAAAATTGACTTGGCAAGAAAGTGTTTTCCTGGGAGTGCAATCTTCTCTTTTTCTCAAAGTGTTTAGTTCCAATTTTGCCTCATATATCAATATTCTCTCCCCTCACCTCTTTCTCGCTCCCACATTTCCTCCAATCTCTCTGTCACACACGCATACACACCGCACATGATAGCTGCCTAAAAGCTATTTAGCGGTTATGAGTTTATCTCCTGAGAAGTATGGCGGTGTAGTTTTTATAATAGCCCTAAACTGATGCTTTTGCAGCTTTGTATCATCAAGCAGAGCTTTTCCTTCGTGTCAGCTGATGTAAAGTGATTCAGAAGTGCAGCGTTTTAGAGAAAAGACAGGATTTTATTCAGTGCTAAGCAAACATCGGCCTTTACATTTCTGGTCCGGTGGCCATCAGTGAATGGAAATGCAGCAACCAGATTTATCTAACAGCTCTATCATACTTATCTGTCTTCCTCTGCTTTGTTGCCCACACCATCTGACCTTGGCATAATAATAGGGCTGAGGAGCTTGAGCTGTAGTCCAGCGGAAGTAATGGCGTGTATGTACACAAATAAACCCACAGCTGTACACATGAATGAAGGTGCCAACACACATTACAGTTTGATTTTGCACTTGGTATCTTCAACCAGAAAGAATGATTGATCGTGACTCCTTTAAGAAATATAATAGAATGTCAAGCCGGCCGCCCTCATCCTTTTTTTCATACGTGCAACTCAAGGGATCAGATATGCTACCTTGAAAATAGAATAGTTTTGATCCACCTGAAAAGGAGACAATTTAGACTCAAAATGTACTTTCTGAGCCTGTATACATACTTTTCTGAAGAAGAATTGTGAACAGGAGCAGTGCTGAGTCTTTTGTAAGATAGAATTCAGTGTTACCTACAAAAATATTCCATCATCTCATCAGAACTGTAATCAGATGCATAATCCAAAGGAAAACAACAAAACAAATGAGATATAACATGTTTATTTGTGAGTTTTAGAGGTGTACCCTTGGACAGAGCCAGGCTAGCTGTTTCCACCTGCTTTCACTCTGTCTGCTAAACTAAGCTAACTATCAATAATTTCGAACTCTCGGCGAGATCGCAAATGAGCATATTTGCCAAAATGTTGAATTAGTATTTTAATGGTAAAATGTTACATACAAGACGATCTGACAAATCAGGTAGTTCGGCAAATTCATGTTGATGTAGAATACCTTCCATTGGCTTCTGATACATTTTTCTTTGAGCACTATTTTTCTTTCAAATGTATCTATCTTCAGAGTAGAACATTTAAAGGTAACTTGTGTTTTTTTTTGTGTGCAACTATGCCATTACTATTCGAACCTTATAGCACACACAGACTTCCTCTAATCTAGTTCTAGTGGGCAGTTTGAAATGGGGAATACTAAGTACATGGCATCCAAAAATAGTCATCCATCTGAAGTTGCTGAGAGATGTTAGCAAAGTAGATGGACACCCTCACTCTCAGTACCACCTGCTTTCCTGTTTATTTATTGATGGGCCTGTGTTTTCTGAGGCCTGATACAGCTTGAGTATTGGGGAATAGAGAGGCTTGATGTGTCACAGATCTGCTGATAGCTGTCTTAAAGGGGCTGTTTGGTCCAACTTGGTCTAGTACAAGGATGGGGCTTCTTTACAGATATTATTAGGGCGACAGGAAAACAACTGCTGATTCCCGCTGAGCACTTGACAGAGCTTGTTCCAGAAGGGACCTGGGTTGTGAAAAAGATATATCTGTTGACAGCACAGTGACAAGGATGCGTTTCAACATTATCTATTCATTTAGGCCTCTTGTCATGGAAATAGTGATTTTAAAGGTTTCAAGCTTAATGAAATGTAATCTTTATGACATATAAATGAATGATTTACAATGAAATGGATTCATAACACTGCAGATGATGAATTAAGTTGTGGGGTCTGTGGGAAGATAATAAAGTGACCCTGGGTCATCAGATCACCCTTTTGTTTGAGTCCCTGCTGTGATGATGTTTGACATTTCCTGCTGATACGAGACCGGTACGAGAAAGTGCTCTATGGCATATCTGTTGATATGTTTTCTTTGTTCGCATTACTTTATAAGGCTGCATGTAACACACGGTGTGGTGCTCAGTCTTTAGGAGGCACGCCATGCCTGCACGGATTAAAGATCTGTAAGAGAATAGAGAAGTATTGTGTTGGTGCGTTTGTTGCCTCACTCTCTTCTCACTCTAGACAGCAACTGATTGAACGGATCATCAGAGCTCTCTGAAAATACTTCTGAAAGTAGATTTGAAAATATGGGTCGATGGAAAAAGTGGGGTAGCAAAAGTAGAGCTATTTGAGATATTTGATTGTTGATTTTGACATACGTGCACTTTCATTGGCTCAGATTGTGGACTGCTATCGCCGACTGAATTGCCACAACTTGATCTGGAAATAGTTCAACTTTTATTGAAAAACATCTGTTCTCTCTTTTCTCCCCCTCTCATAAGACCGGTATCAATTTTGTCCTCTAACTTTTATCAAGACAGCAAGTAACTGTATTTCCCCAAAATATTGTTCGACCAAAGAGTAGGTTGCATACATGAGTCAAATAAAATCTCTGCTCACAATTCATTGGGTAAATGATTCAATTTGAACTCAAAATGTTCAGAGGTTGTTCTTTGAGAAAAGTTACTGTGTCATAGTTGGAGATGTGTGCTCTTCCCTGGAGTTCACTCCCTCCCGAGTTTGTTAAGTGAATTCACTTGAGTTCAGCTCAGTGTCTGAGTAATTATTTCCTGACAAGGACTAGTCGCATTTCTTCCTGTGTGGATGTTAGATGAGCGACAGCAAGTAGAGCAAGTAGAGCGTAATGTGCGTACTGATATGAAAACATTCAATTAGAAGGATTTAATGGTGGGAAATGGAAATTACAGCTTTGTGTTTACGGTGAGTATTTAGCTCCGGGTGATTTCCAGGTGGGTGACAGATTAAATAGCTGGCAGCAAACTGTAGAAGGTAGAACAACTAACTTGTGTTTATGCTCACTGGAGAACATAGAAATGAGAAGAGCAACTAGATGACAAAAAAATAAGATGTGACATGTGGATAGTCAAACCTTTAACATACTTTTGAAGACCTCCCACCTGTGTTTAGGGAAGTCATCTAGACTAAACCTCTAACCTTTATTGAAAGATGTTTTCGGGTCGTGCTTTGACCATCCCATTTCCAGCAGTGTCTCTGGAAGTCCATAACATGACCTTTAAGGTGAACACCCCTCCCTGCCTGTCATTGTGAACATGTCTGAGAGACA